AGTTTAAGGTGGACTTCGAGCTCGAGGAGCTCTCCTCGGTACCCTTCGTCAATGGGGTCCTCTTCTGCAAGATGCGGCTGCTGGACGGCGGCAGTTTCACCGCGGAGTCCTCCAGGTAAGGCGCCCTCTGCGCCTCCCGCGCCTCCTGAGCCCCGCGCCCCGCCTGCGCAGCCTTGGCTGGTTCATGGACAGCATCCCTTCCCTTGGCCCCTTCGTTCCAGCCGGGCAGCCAGCCTTCTGAGCTCGCTGTCCTCCAGGGACCGTTCTGAAATCAGTCAGGAATGTATCGATCAGCACAAAGTGCTTCGCAAATGGGTTTATCTAGGTTGGCCTTGGCTTCTGCGTTCCTGGCTCCAAATGGTTCCTGGTGTCAGCTCTTGCCTCCCAATTCTCTAGGAATGGGAGCGAAGGCCAAAGGGAGAGAGAGGATGCTTCTTGTTTCCCTTAAGACATTTCCATATTTGTAAAATACAAGGTGCAATTGGAGCTGTTGTTAAAAACAAAAATGACCCCAGCTGTTCACCGGTTCTGAACAGCCTGTGCTTGTTGTCATTCTTCTTTCTGGTGGGCTAGGAGGGGTTTTGCGCGCCCAGATTGAGGCTGAGGTAGGCCAGGTCGGCCTCAACGTAAGACAAGTGTTCCTAGCAGATGAGGCAACAGTCCATGAGACTATAGATTGCACCTCCAGCTCTGAGCTAATGCTCATGGAATTACCTGTCTTGAAGTGACCACTGTGAGTCTCAATGTGGGGGACTTAGAACCAGGAGGGAAGCCCAAATTCTGAGCTCATTTTGAAATGAGCCTCTCCTTGTGTGCCCCATGCACTCTCTGGGAGAGATATTAGTAGGTTCCAGAATGCAGCCAGATGTGGCAGTGTTCCTTGAGTAATTTCAGGATTATTCACAGATTGACAGATTTGCCCTAGGGTGTTTTTTCTTTTCAAAAAAATAGAAAACAAAAAGTTAACAACTGAATTTTTGAGTTCTGAGGTCAAGGAGAAGGGTTAACAATCTTTGTTTAACCCACAGACAGTGGGGTTTTTTTACACTAAAAATATTGTACTTTCTTTTTTATCTGTCATCCCATTAAAATTGTGAAGGAAATAATGTCAATGGATTGTGGAATTGGAGCCAGAAAATTGTCCACTGTGGCAATATTGGTCTATGAGAGCCCGATAATGTCTGGTTGGCTAAACCAAAGGATGTATAAAGCACTATTGATTCTCAAAATTAATAAATAATCCACTGAGGATAATTTTAAAAATTAAATTGTAGTAACAAATCTGAGGGTATTCAGCTAATTAATTATAGTACAATAATTTTTAGCACACCTGTAAGAGAACAATGAATGGTGCAAATAATATATATATATATGTATAATACCAGCTCCCAAGGTATCAAAAAGCCTATATGAATTCTGAATGTACTGTAGGTGAAAGTGACAGTCTTGTTTTGCTGCTGGATTCTACTCCCCTACCTGGAGCAGTTAGGTGAGTACTCTTGGCCCAATGGTGACACCTGGTGGTCAGGACACTTGCCGACTACCTTCTTAAAGTCAGTTATTTAGTCATTGAAGAAAACATGTCCACTAGGCCTTTTGAATATAATTTTTTTTTCATACTGGGGATTGAACTCAGGAGTACTCAACCACTGAGCCACATCCCCAGCCCTATTTTGTATTTTGTATTTATAGACATTATCTGGCTGAGTTGCTTATCGCCTCACCATTGCTGAGTCTGGCTTTGAACTTGCGATCGTCCTGAAATATACTATCCTATTTAATTCTCACAGCAAGCCTAGGGATCCACATTTTGTGAATAAATGACTCAAAGTCCCCACAGATGATATGTGTAATTCCGAGATTCTGATACAGGTGTAACTTCAAACAGGGTGATGCCAGATAAAGGGGGAAAGTGTGTTCTGTGCTGAAGAGTTTCTAAATAGGCAGCTTCCTAATGGTTTTAAGGTGCAGTGGGTATCATTTGATTCATCCTCTGCAAGACTTGGAAATGAAAAACTATCCTGTGATAAGCTTCACCCTTTCTCTTCCAACTAAAATCTGGCTTTAATCAAGGTAAACACAGGTAAGCATATTGCTGGATTTTTTTTTTTTTTTTTACTTTATAGGCTGAGCAGAGAATGAGAAAACTCTGATTCTTGATTCATCACCCCCCATTCTCAATTCTTTTTTTTTATTTTTTTTTAATTTTTGTAGTTGTAGATGGACAGAATGCCTTTGTTTATTTTTATGTGGTGCTAAGGATGGAACCCAGTGCCTCACACAGGCTAGGCAAGTGCTCTGCCACTAAGCTACAGCCCCATCCCTCCTCCTCAGTTCTTATCATTACAAATTTGTATTTATGGGAAAAAAAGAATAGTGCTTGGTACAGCCAAACAAACAAACAAAAACAGAGTTTGAGAGAAATGATTCAAAATAAGAAGTATGTGCCTTTGAAGTTAGGTAGAGAGAATTAGCACAAAGCTAAGAACAAGAGTTTGGAATGAGGTAGGTTTAAGCCTAATCCCAGTTCCACCTGGGTAGACCTGGTTGTGGTTACTTAGGCTCTCAAAGTTAAAAATCTGTAAAATTGAAATAGTTGCTGACACTTGAGGCGATTTTGAGAATTTAGTAAGGTGGTGTGCCTAAGACACCTAACAGTGCTTTGGCGTCCAGTTGGCATTTAAAGAGGAGATGACCAACTTGTTCAAGAAGGTCTGTTTGCTTTAGATGTTATACTTAATTCCTTTTTCTTAACAAGTACAAAAATGTTGATTTAAGAAATATTCCTCATTTTACAAGAGAAAAAAGAAATCCTGAAATACCAGTGGTAAGTAAATTATTTTAAAATTGCGTAACTCTTACATAGTGGATGCCAGTCTAGGAATGCAACTGTAATTAAATGCTAGGCTTTAATTTCTAAAAATCTGTTTGTGGGACCCTTTTAAATCAGAAACATTTAAACACTGTAACATTTCTCTCATAAAAATGTGAAATCAATAATATGTAAAAGGTATAATAAAGCACACTCAAGACTGCTGTTTTTAGAAAGGTTTACCAGGTTGCCCTTGGCTAGTGTCTGGGAACCTGAGTGTAAATGAAAAACTGTCCTGTGATAAGCTTCACCCTTTATGATACTATATGATATAAAACTTCATCTAAATGATACAAGCTGCTCAGTGTGCCTAGACTGCACAAAGTGTGATTCATGATAAACATCTTCTGAGAGTCATGCATTTGGGTCCAAATTAAGTAAAGGGTGCTAAAGTAACCAACCTAATAAAAACCTTCAGCATTGAGTCTCTAATGAGTTTTCCTAGTAGACAACACATGTCACAATTTGATGCTAAAGAAATTATGGCTGAGTCTGCTTTGTATCCTGTTGCTGTAATAAATCGTAGCCATAATACAACTCCCTGTAAGCAATCACCAAACCCAGGGATGGCCTTGGGAACCCCCATACATGAACTAATGTAAAATAATATTGTTTTGTTAGAGAAACGTCTGGGAGATATATAGAAAATTCTCTCTCACACACACACACACACGCATACATACGCACCACACACTTGGCTTTGTATAAAACCAAAACATGCAGATAATTCATTGTTCACCAAATATTAATTGTGCATTTACCAGTTTTCTAGCTGTTAGGAGCTGTGAGAAGTACAACAAATAAAGAGTCCACAAAAAATTACCTCAAGTTAATAAAAATAATTATAATTATTTGTCAGTAGGAGTCAGTATGACTTGCTGCCCTGCCTGTGGGTCAGACATATGTGAGGGTTGTTGAAATTCTAAAGGAAAAGAGTTCATTTACAGCTGTACTGGTTACTGGAAACTGTATTTGCATTTCAGTTGAGCATGCTGGGAGGATGAATTTGCATTGACAAGAAAGTGAGGTGGGAGGGCAGCTTGAGCAAGACATTCATAGAATTGGTTCTAGATCATCCTGATTCCTCAGAGTTCATGTTCAACAGAAGCAGAAGATAAGATTAGAAAAAGCCTTTGAATGCCATTATAAAGAGTTTGCTTTCCACGGCTCATAGGATAAAATTCAAGCTAGAATTCTTGAACTGAGTTGTAATGTGATTAAAATGATAAATGAGCTTGCTGGCAGGCTGATGCTTTTGAATTCAAGTGATAATAGATGAGATGAGGAGACAAATTAAGAGCCTATTAAAATAACGCAGGCAGGAGCTAATGAGATCCTGAACTCAAAGTTTCTCATATGAGTGACTGATAGATGAAAATGCTATGACAGATCCCTTGATGCCAGGAGAGAAATAAGGAAGTCCAGACAACTCTTTGTTTTGTTTAAGAGGAATATTGTATATGATGGTAAAAGATATGAAGAGTTAAGTTGATAACATGATACATTTGAGATGACAGTGAGTCCGATAAACAGTTGAAATCACATTTATTGCGATATGTGTGTTTCTTAAATTCTAGTCTATGGGAGCCGTACAAGCCTGCTTATTTCTCACTTAGGTCTTCCTTATACTGTTTTGCCCTTTTAGTGATCGTTAGTGAAAATTAATTTTAGAAGGATCCAGTTTCTCCGAGGAATGTTTGTTCAGTGAAGAGGTTAAAAAGAAATAAGACTAAAAGGTATTTATTTGTAATGAATGATGTTGTTGTTATTATTTTGGTACTGGGAATTGAGCCCAGGGGCAATTAACCACTGAGCCTCATCGCCATCCATTTTTATGTTTTATTTTGAGACAGGGTCTTGTTAAGTTGCTTAGAGCCTCACTAAATGCTGAGTCTGACTTTGAACTTGGGATCCTCCTGCTGTAACCTGCATGCTCCCAGTCCTTGGGATTACAGGGGAGAGCCACTGTATCCAACTATAATTTTTATTAAAATGGTCAGGGTAAATGTTAGATTTTACATAACCACAATTATTATACATTTGGAAAATATAATGTAAATTATATTCGTCTATTGAACTGAAGCCAAATTCTTGCATAATAAAATATTTTCTAAGATCTCTTAGACAAAATATTATATTATTTGAATCTTTTTAGAGTTCTTCTTTTGTAAATATTTAAATCACTTTTGAAGTTTTATTAAGACTGTCAGGATAGATTTAATTCTGTTCTGCTTAAATAAAGG